AAAAATTTAAAATTCTTTAAAATTCTAGGGTAGCCTTTATGGATACCCGAGTCACAATAAGAAGTGAAAAACTGATGAATGGCCAAAAAATGCAAAAACAAAAAGTTTAAAAGAAGGTGGGTTCGAACCCGCAAAACAAGATTACCAGACAAGTGCGTGCACCACTCGGCCACCGGACCACGCTTTGCAATGGTGAACGGTGGCGGTTAAGAAACCGGTGTTTGTGAGAGGCGAGTGGAGGAGGGAGCTCGTGATGAAAAGTCGAAATTTACATGCTTTATTGGTCGATTTTGGAGCACAAATATCTCGGCTCTCCGGGCCATTTAGCAAAATTTGAAAACTGTTTCGGAACCAGGGAATGACCTTCTTTTCGATGAAACCACTGGTATGTCTCGATCGCGAGGTAAGTTCTGACCATTCCCTAGTAAGGTCAAAGAGCAAATACGGTATGACACCAACCTTCATACACCATTTTCCCGATGGTCTTTTGAAGTTCTTCCATCCCTCTTCACAATTTCCATTCGATTCTTGAACCATATCTCTTTGAATCAGTTGGTTTTGAGATACTTCTAGATTCTCCTCCACGTGGAAGAACTCATCGTTCTCCTCGTTATAACTCTGACGACTTTGGTTCTCATCAACCGAAAAATAAGCCTTTGGATCTACGCATTGCTGTTTAGGGCTTTGAGGGCGGAACATACAGTATCCGGGGGTAACAAGGATGAGCAATATGGGTAGATGACGTAGCATTTTTGGGGACGGAGAAAAGTAGGTAAGCGCTTGAAAGTTGCATTTTATATATTCCTAGATACATGATGAAAAAATTCTGCGGAAGTTGAAAAAGTGGTGTTTTAGGGCATGGCGTTGCTGGTCGTAAAAATGAACAGGGATAAAAAAAGGTAGCAGTTTTGATAACGGACCAAAAGAAAGGATCAAACGAAATAACAATTTTTGGTCTTATGAACTTCCTCTATTAAGAAAAAGACCACTTCCTCTATGAAGACACGACATGAAACCTGAGAAACTATCCCCTTTTCTTGTATAAAAAAGTAGAAAACCAGGAAATATCCATTTTTCGAAATGTTCAAGTCCCTTATATTCTCTGTCTTTTTGGCTGTATTAGTTTTTGCCAGATTTGATTCCGATGAAGAACCATGTAAGGAAGAAGATGTGTCCACCGAGCCGAGTTAGTCATTTTGAAACCAAATCTTTCAAAAATTCAGTTTTAGCTACTGTCTCTACGGATGCCCCTGCCAATTTAACATGTGAATCTGGATGGAAAAGTTTCCAAAGACCATCTGGAGAGTGGTGTATGAAGGTTTTTAGAGAGGAGATGCTAACTAATACTCTCGGAAGGAAGAGAAAAAAAATAGAGTTTCAGATTGTCTATGAGAACTCTGTTACCCAGCCAGTCGCCGAGCAACGCTGTCAAGCTCAAGGAGCGACGTTGACAGGTCTTCAGAATCAGTTGGAGATGCTTTATGTGACATGTAAGATACGGGGAGTTTAGGATTCGTCCAATACCGTGTGGATTTTTCGAAAGCTTACAATTAAGAGTTGACGCTTCCAATCCGGAGTTCCGGTCTCAACCATTTCAGATACCGTAACCAACGATATCTTCCCTGAAAGTGGAAGTGTCTGGATTGGAATGAAAAGGACCGAGGCTTGTGCGAATTCCACTATTACCGGCGAATGTAAATGGGATAACAGTTTCGTGTGGACCGATAAGTCAGCTACAGGAATCGATGGAGTCAATTGGGCATATAACCAGCCGGACAATGCTAGAGAGTAAGAGCGAAATATTCGTGAACTTCTTGAAAACCCAAAACCATATTCAGGCTCAGCCAACACTGTGTTATATTGAATATAGGTCCTTCTGGATACTGGCTTTACTCCCAAATTGGGTTAATGGATGATATGGGGTAGGCTATAAATTATTGAAATGTCCTTCACAAAATTTCAGATGCACATTTGACTTCGTCGCAGAAGACCGAAAAGCTTTGGACGTCAAGGCGTTTGTCTGTGGAAAGAAGCCAAGTGCCAAGATTAATTAAACTGTTTTGAAATAAAGTGTTTTATGGTTTTGATAAGGTTTCCCTCCACTCTGAATTTTTCATTCGAAACATTCAACTGATTTTATAGTCAAAAGTTATTCGAATTTTCTTTAAAAAATATTTTTTCAAATTTTTTTCACCTCGAAAGCCATAAAAAATAAAATAGGACAAAAAAGAAATGTTACGATGCCATCTAGGAAGTGTTTAGTGAATGTTTTTAAATTTAAAAAATTGTGCTTATCGGTTTCTGAAAAATATTGAAATTGGATTATTTTGAATAAAAACATTTTATCAACTATCAAACAATGTACTTTATTTCGGAAAAGCAATCACAAAACAGTAAAAAGCTCGGTGCCTCATGCTGGAATCGAACCAGCGACCTTCTGTTTACTAGACAGACGCTCTGCCACTGAGCCAATGAGGCGCGTGGTAATTTGCTTCTTCAATGCATTTATAAACGTTGAGAAATCATAACGCGAAAAAAATCAAAAAAAATAAGCCCAATGCGGGGCTCGAACCCGCGACAACCAGATTAAGAGTCTGGTGCTCTACCGACTGAGCTAACCGGGCGGCGATGGCATAAGAAGTGGAGGGCGTATTTGAAAGAGGGGGAAACAGCGGGGCAGCGGGGGAATAACCTATTTTCATTTACGTGTGTGTGTGCGTGTTTCAAAAATATTGGAGGAGGAAGGAAAGAGAAAACGAAGAAGACAATAAAAGAAAAGCGAAAGCAAGATAGAGACAATTTTTAGTTGGAATTCCCAAAATTTGAAATCCCATTAACATTATGAAACTCTCACCAAAATGTGGGGGTAGAAGAAATTATGAGTGAGAATTCAAAGAATAAGACTATAAAATGACATCCTGATAGTTTCAATATCACGGAAACGTCCAGACATTTTCATCATGAATAAGTCTTCACTCTTGGTCCTCCTATTCTGCTTCTCAGCAACCTTCGCCGCAGTTCCAGTGGCCATGAACTGCCCAGATGGCTGGAAATGGTTCATTAGATCCCGTGGTGGCTGGTGTATGAAGGTTAGGTAGTTTCTCACTGAATTATCTGATAATAGTGTTCTTTAAGGTCTTTGTTGAAACTCTCGTACAAGAAAAGGCCGAAGAAAAGTGTGTAGCCCAGGGAGCCACTATCGCCGGAGTCCAGAATGCCAATGAAAGCGCATGGATGAGATGTGAGTCATTTTTTGGACCTTTAAAACTAGATTTTATCGATTTTCAGCCGAATTTGAATCCCAATATAAAACACCTGCATACATGTGGGTCGGAGGTAAACGTATCAAGCCTTGTTTGAATTCTGGGCTCACTGCTGCATGCTCAAGGGTCACTTCATTCTATTGGACTGACAAGTCTACTGTAGGAGTTCAAGGATTTACCTGGAAGGAGGGGGAACCCAATAATCATGGAGGAGGGTAAGGGAAACATTTTTAATGAGAGAAAAAAAAACAAATTTCAGAGGGCAGTGGTGCCTTCAACTCATGAGTAACACTGGATTGATGGATGACGTTAAGTGAGTTTTTCAGAGAATAAGAAACTTGGGAAGAAAAAAATTTCAGTTGTGCCGCAGTAACATATGGTTATGTGTGTGGAAAAGTTGCATCTTTTAAATGATTCTATCTGCGAATTTTTTGTTTAGAAATAAAATCGTTGATTTCACTAGAAATGGTTATAAAAGTATTTTGTCCATTCAGGAATTCGTTGAAACTGTATTTTAAACTCAAGCAGCAGAGGGAAGGTTTAAAGATGGAGAGAAAAAGAAGACACAAAACAGTAAAAAGTTCGGTGCCTCATGCTGGAATCGAACCTTCTGTTTACTAGACAGACGCTCTGCCACTGAGCCAATGAGGTGCGTGATAATTTGCTTCTTCAATGCATTTATAAACGTTGAGAAATCATAACGCGAAAAAAATCAAAAAAAATAAGCCCAATGCGGGGCTCGAACCCGCGACAACCAGATTAAGAGTCTGGTGCTCTACCGACTGAGCTAACCGGGCGTCGATTGCATGAGAAGTGGAGGGCGTATTTGAAAGAGGGGGAAACAGCGGGGCAGCGGGGAGAGACGTAATGCATGAAACAGAGAGGAGCGAGGCAGTTGAAATTTGGAGGCCAGTTTGCACTTACGTGTGTGTATTGTGTGTTGTGTTGAAAGCTGAAGGAAAGGAAAAGAGAAAAAGAAGAAGAAGAAGAAGTAAAGATAAAACAAATGCCGTAAAATGCGCAGGAAGAAATCCGAAAAAGCTATGCTAATATTTTTTGAACTTTATTTATCATTCATCGTTCCCTCTATCTCAAACTACCCTGTTGGCACTAATTTGTAATTCTAATTAACCTCTATAAAAGGGGGAACCGATTTTTGGTTCTCTACTTTTTCGGGACATAAAACTCATATTGGGCCATTAGCTGTTTCTTTGTTATTATCACGCAAAACTAGATAATGAACAAACTTTCCCTCTTGTTCCTTCTATTCTGCTGCTCAGCAACTTTTGCCAATGTTCCAGTTTGGAAATTCAAGCTGAGGCTAAGTGTGAAGAACATGGAGCATTCATTGCTGGTGTTCAAATTACAAATGAGAGCTCATGGATGGCAGGTACTAGGACTAGAGAAAAATTCATAATGCAACTATAGAGTCTCAGCTTCATTATTGAATTTTAGCCGATTTGGAATCTTTTCTAAAGGCTCCTGGATACTTTTGGATTGGAGCCAAACGTATCACCCCTTGTAGGTATGTGGGAATCACTAATAGGTGCTCACAGATCACATGGTTTTATTGGATTGATGAGTCAACTGTCGGAGTTCAAGGGTTCCGGTGGTTGCTTTCAGAACCGAATAATGTGAAGTGAGTATGGGATTCAAATCTCAGCTTTTAAAAATATACTGTAGTGGTACCCAAGGTTGTGTGGCAATGGAATCTACTTCTCTGTTGATGGATGATTTGAGGTTGGTTTTTTTGAAAATTTAAAAAGAAGTTGTGTGATTTTCAGATGGTCTGACAAAAGTTCCGGATATGTTTGCGGGAAGGTTGCGTCGTTTGATTAATCATGCTATATTTCTCTGAATAAAATGTTCACTTACTGTTTTGAGCACTTACCGTGAACCCTAATAGAATGACCCCAGAAACAGTCAAATTTGAGGTCGTATATCTCATTTCCTGTAAAAGGTATCAAGATGTGTTCAACTTATAAATTGTTGATCATAATACCAAAAACATTTTATCAATTGTCAAAGTTTTGATATCTCTCACAGAAATTGAGATAGTTGAACTCAAAGTAAACGGTTTGGGTGGGCTTCATTATAGCTATTACAGTAAATCATACTTGTAATCCGGGCCTTTGCCGGGCCTTCGCGGGCCCTGCCATAACTTCTTTCAGAATCAATTTTTGCTAACCAACTCAATCAGATATGATAGAGCTCCACGAGTACTACAAAACTGTATCATTTGGAATACTGTATCTGTCTATGAACAGAGTTACAGATCATAAGGCTTTTCTCGCAGGGCCTGGCAGGCCCGGGCCGGGCCTGCTTTTTTTGATCCTTTTGCTCTGTAACTCTGTTCATAGACAAGATACAGTATTCCAAATGATACAGTTTTGTAGTACTCGTGGAGCTCTATCATATCTGATTGAGTTGGTTCGAAAAAATTGATTCTGAAAGAAGTTATGGCAGGGCCCGCGAATGCCCGGCAAAGGCCCGGATTACAAGTATGCAGTAAATAGTTTTTGTCGGTTTTTCTGATCTTCAGAGCTTCATTAGAAATTTAAAATCAACAATTTTATTTTTTTAAAAAATCGAAAAACCCAAATTAGTCAAAAGATGCAACTTTTCCACAGACATAACCAAGTGTTGTAGCGGCACATCTGAAAAGCTTTCATTCTTCAAAAGTTTCGTATTCTCCAAAAAACTCACGAAACGTCATCCATAAGTCCAGTGTTACTCATGAGTTGAAGACACCACTGACTACTGAAATGCGTTTTTGTTTGTTTTGCAATGTTCATTTTTCCCTTACCCAAACGCATTATTGGGTTCTCCAGCAAGCCATGTGAATCCTTGAACTCCTACAGTAGACTTATCAGTCCAATAGAATGAAGTGACCCTTGAGCATGCAGTAGTGAGCGCAGAACTCAGGCACGGATTGACACGTTTACCTCCGACCCACATGTAGCCAGATGTTTTGGTTTGAGATTCCAACTCGGCTGAAATTCGAAAATGGTTTCAAAGATTGGAAAAAGGGCTCACATCTCATCCAAGCGCTTTCATTGGCATTCTGGACTCCGGCGATAGTGGCTCCCTGGGCTACACACTTTTCTTCGGCCTTCTCTCGTATGAGAGTTTCAGCAAAAACCTTTAAGAATAGTTCTATCAATAATTTCAGTGAGAAACTGCCTAACCTTCATACACCAGCCACCGCGTGATCTAATGAACCATTTCCAGCCATCCGGGCAGTTCATAGCCACTGGAACAGCGGCAAAGGTTGCTGAGAAACAGAATAGGAGGACCAAGAGAGAAGACGTGTTCATGGTGAGGTGCATGATTTCTTCCCTTGTGTTGGGTTCTTGTAGGAACCCTATGAGGACCATAACGTATGAGAGAACATAAAATTTGGGAGACTTCCGGGTTCTCAAACCTGATGACGCAGTTCAAGAGATCAGTTTCAAACTAGATTTTAGGCAGAGAATGGTGCGAAAAAAACAAGGCTGGAAAAAAAATTGTCGATAAGTGCATAGAATTGTTCTAGATTTTCGAATGAACTGGCTGAAAATCGTCTTTTTCGGAACTACCATGTTCACTCTGTGGCTTTGGCCCCAATTATTTCGATTTCTGAAAGGGATATGATAAACTGGAAAACATACAAACTTTTGATAATAGATTTACGGTGTTTCAGAATTTAAGACATTCTGCCATTGTCGAATTAAAAAAAAAGACACCTGAACAATTTCGCAGGCGGCGTTTGTGTCGATTTTCGAAGCTGCGCCCCAAAAATCAATACTGTGATGAACAAAATAAATTTCTGTGAATCCAGTAATTTTCTAAAATTAATTTATATTTTTTTCGTGAAAATATGATCGATAGCAGCTCTAGAATCTGTTTTATCGGAAGCCCGAACTTAATAGCGGAAACGGCTTGAAGGAGGCGAAAGTCTGAATTCTTCCTTACATGTAAAATGCTAGACGCGTCTGTCTCTCCCGGTTTCAGGCTGCCCGCTATTGAAAAGCTTGAAAAATAAGCATAGGTTTACGTGACCATTTAAGAAAAATCAGGAACGGAGCTCACGAATGAGTTGAAAACTAGATTAAATCGCGCCGAACGCGCACCAGCTAGCTGATATTAAATCTGAAGTTTGAAATATTTTGAATTATTAAAACTTTCTTCCAAATCCTGTGTTTGATTTGTATCTGTTTTTGCTTTGAATGTTTTTGTCGGTATTTCTGATCTTCAGAGCTTCAGTAGAACTTCACAATCAACAATTTTATTTCCAATCAAAAATTTGCATTCAGAATTAATTAAAGGATGCAACTTTTCCACAGACATAACCATATGTTTCAGCGCCACATCTGAAGTTATTTATTCTCTTCAAAAGTTTCTTACTCTCCCAGAAACTCACGCAACGTCATCCATCTGTCCAGTGTTACTCATGAGTTGAAGGCACCACTGCCCTCTGAAATTTGTTTTTTTTTCTCTCATTAAGAATGTTTCCCTTACCCTCCTCCATAATTATTGGGTTCCCCCTCCTTCCAGGTAAATCCTTGAACTCCTACAGTCGAATTATCAGTCCAATAGAATGTAGTGACCCTTGAGCATGAAACAGTGAGAGCCACAGAATTTAAACAAGGCTTGATACGTTTACCTCCGACCCACATGTATGCAGGTGTTTTATATTGGGATTCAAATTCGGCTGAAAATCGATTAAATCTAGTTTTAAAGGTCCAAAAAATGACGCACATCTCATCCATGCGCTTTCATTGGCATTCTGGACTCCGGCGATCGTGGCTCCCTGGGCTACACACTTTTCTTCGGCCTTTTCTTGTACGAGAGTTTCAACAAAGACCTTAAAGAACACTATTATCAGATAATTCAGTGAGAAACTACCTAACCTTCATACACCAACCACCACGGGACCTGATGAACCATTTCCAGCCATCCGGGCATTTCATGGCCACTGGAACTGCGGCAAAGGTTGCTGAGAAGCAGAATAGGAGGACCAAGAGAGAAGACGTGTTCATGATGTAATTTCCTTGCATGACTTCTTCGCTTGTGCTGGGTATTTGTAGGGACTCTAACAGGCCCATAAAGCATGAGAGAACATGAAACATTGGAAACTTCCTGGTTCTCAAGCCTGATGACGCATTTCGAAACATCAGTTTCAAACTAGCTTTTAGGCACATGATGGTATTCTAGATTTTGGAAACAACTGTCTGAAAAGCCTCTTTTGAAATTTGGATGATAGAAATACGATTTCCAATGCTATCCTATTTTGGGAGTTTTTGGATTACTGAAGCTCGAAAAGTGCATGTACACCGAATATACTCAAAACTGGATTTAAATTCGTCGCAACATTTAATAATATGTGGAGAAACAAACAACTAGTTTGAAGTTTATATCTGAATTTTTAACAGTTTCGAATTTTGCGGGTTACTGTAGCTCGACTAGATATGACGCCACCTCCACACTTGCCCTTTAAAGGTGGGGGACAGGAGATTTTTCGTAGTTTTTTTGTAGCTAGAGTATGCATTCTACCGTGACGGTGTACAACGCTTAATGTCACTCTGCGTACAGCTGTCGTCCTCGCCTTTATGTATGCAATCGGGCGTGCGCTTTCTCTTTGCCCGCGTGGCTCAGTCGGTAGCGGCGCCGCACCCTCAATCATCGCCCTCACAAGTTCAACTCCTCGAGAGGCATCTTTGAACGGAATTTCGAGAACATTATTTTTTTCATGTCCCCCCACCTTTAAACTCAATTATCTCGGCTCCTATAAGAGATATCAAACGTTTTCTGCCTCATTACATGTTGGTGATATTATGACAATTATTTTATCTGTTGGCAAGTTTTTAATATCTCTAAAAGGAACCGAGTTAATTTAGCTCAAACGGAGAATACGATAATTTTGTGAAATGAGTCCTTGATCACAAATTCTAGGCAGACTTTGTACCAATTGTTTGTCTTGTTAAAAATTATAGTTTTACAATTCCAGAAAACGAGAAAATACATTTTTATTTAAACAAATCAGAGTGACAGCCAAATCATTTATTTGCTAGCCTTCTTTCCACAGACATGCCCGAGAATCTTACGTGGAAGATGCGCCTCACTGAATTCCCCAACTTCACATCCGGTATCTTCATAGGACGCTGCGTAATACGTTCCCTTGTTAGCAACCACAGTTGGTGTCTTCGATGCCAAGAATAGAGCACAATTTTGGTCGAGGCTGAAATTTCAGAGACTTTTCTAGAACGTACATAAGAAAACACTCTACTTCTTATTGTCAGGTTGTCCAGCTTGGAAAACGAATCCGTCGGTTCCAGTAGAAGATCCATCTGTCCATTCGAAGGAAGTCAGATTGGTGCAAGTTGCTGTGATTTTTTGTCCGATGCATTTTTTGGTTCTACGAAGCCCTGTCCAGAGGGATCCACTCGATTCGGGAACTTGGGCCAAGATAGAAGCTGGAATTGGATTGAAAGAAAATTTAAATTTTTAATTTTAAATTAGGTACTTTGTATGAAGAGTGCTTCCTCTTGTCTTGGAGTCCGGATAGAGTGGCGTCTACGGCTTTGCAAGCTTTTTCAGCATCTTCGAAACTGGCAACATCGCTGGGGAAAATCTGGAAAGAACTACAGTAATCCTCATTTTCCTATATCACCTTTTAGACGTTCGACTCTTAACTCTCAAGTGCCCTATCATTTATGTGATTGCCTCTACCATAAATGATCAACTACAAAATTGTAGCCTATTACTTATTACTTCACTCAAAAAGTTCCAAATTTGTTAAACAATTTCTAACTACAGTGGATGCTCTAATGGAAGGCTATACGTGCAATTTGAGCTCATTTATCTCGCTTCCTATGAGAAATATCAAAATTTTGTCAACCAATAAGATATACCGTAAAACCTCTAATAGAACGACACTCGGATCGTCCACTTTGAGCCTATATATCTCATTTTCTGTGAAAGATATCAAAAAGTGGCTAACTAGTAAAATGTTGCTGATATCCTGATAAACATTTTACTAGTTAACCACTTTTTGATATCTTTCAAAATAAGTGAGATATATAGGCTCAAAGTGGACGATTCGGGTGTCGTTCTAAATAGAGGTTTTACGGTAGGTGATTTAATGATAAATGTTTTATTAGTTAACACTTTTTTGATATCTTGCATAGGAACATAGATAATTGAGCTCAAAGGGCTTAGAGCATTTACATTATGTAATCCTTACTTTTATACACCATCCACTCGATGGTCTATTTACGAATTTCCAATCAGCTTCACACCCATTCGCAGTGTTTTCCTCCATTTCAGAATTCAAAAATGTCTTCCATGCTGCTGGGCAATCTGCCAACGTGGAAGAAATACAGAGGGCAAGGAGCAGAATTTGCATGACTACCTGGAATGGGTTACTGTAATTTTTCTACTTCAAAAAATGGTGAAAAATAATGAATTCTGAATGTTCCATACATTTTTAGAAGAATTCTTTCGCTTTTTATTCTTCTCCACCCAATTGGAAGTTGGAAAATTCTCTATGAATTCCAAAATTTAATGTGAGAGATTTCTAACTTCCATTTCTTGATTCTCAACTTTCCCATAAGGACCAAAGAATCTTTTCTTTTTGCAAATATTCTTCTTTTTCTCCTTTGCAAACTGGCCTCCAAATTTCAACAGCCTCGCTCCTCTCTTTTTCATGCATTACTTCACTCCCCGCTCCCCGCCGTCTCCCCCTTTTTCATATGCGCCCTCCACTTCTCATGCCATCGCCGCCCGGTTAGCTCAGTCGGTAGAGCACCAGACTCTTAATCTGGTTGTCGCGGGTTCGAGCCCCGCATTGGGCTTATGTTTTTTGCTTTCTTTACTTCACGATTTCTTTGATTTCTCAAGTTTATGAATGCATTGGAGAAAGAACCCATCACGCGCCTCATTCACAGGTCCTGGGCGCGCATACGCATAATGGATGGGCGACGGAGGACGCGCCGATGAATTGGGTACAGGGAAAGGACGCCGGTATGGGGCATATACGGGGCATATGGGGCACACCGCCGCCGCAAAGCATCTCCTCGCCTGGCTTGCTGGCACTCGATGAAATGAACTAAAACGTTGGTTGGGGGTTCCTAGAAGTATCAGTTAAGTTCTATTGTGATGTGATTTTGTTCAGGTCTTCCGATTTCGTACTTTTCCTTTATTATTCCATATTCTTTTATATTTTGAACGACATATTACTGATTTTTCGGAAGTCAATGTTTTGGTTTTGAAAAAGACTTAGGGCAGTTTCTATTTAAATTTGATATGCAATCAAAAACAGAACAAAATGGGAAAAAAAAATAGCTAAAAATTGTTTTTTTTTTTCATTTGTTCAAAAAATATGTCTCACTTTCACTTTTTTTGAAATTGCATGAAAAATTGAAAATTTTTATAATTTAAACTTTGTAATTATTGTATACTTACCAACTTACCTTTTACTCCACCTGGAAATACGATTTTTACAATAATTACAAAGTGAAATAAAAAATCTCAATATCACTTATTTTGGCGAAAAACATAGCAATTAACGAGTGAAAGACATGTTTCTGCAAGAATTCAGCGATTTTTTATTCTGTCATAACTCTTTTTCACAAAAAAAAACATCGAAGGAATAATCGAAAAACCAGAAATGTAGGCTCGAATTGACGAAAAATTGACAAAGTTGCCGGTGTGGATTTACGGTGCGCGCATCCGGGATTTCGGAGTGTTGTAGTCGGCCTACCGTATCAGACCCAAATCGCACATATCGCCCACCCACCCAGAATTCATCTAGGATACGCGCGCATTCGGAACACTCGATTCAGCCTCTCCCGCATCGCACACATATGAGACTCATCGCAGCTCGTTGTTCGCGATATGTGTCAAACGGACTTCTAGGATCGCATATGGATCGAGTCCTTTATGCGCATCATCGCCCAGGACCTGTGTTGGCTCAGTGGCAGAGCGTCTGTCTAGTAAACAGAAGGTCGCTGGTTCGATTCCAGCATGAGGGACCGAATTTTTTTTAGCAGTCAGTAGAGCTCAGTCGGTACAGCACCAGACTCTTAATCTGGTGTCGCGGGTTCGAGCCCCGCATTGAGCTTATATTTTTTTGCTTTTTTTTCGCGTTATGATTTCTCTGATTTCTCAAAGTTTATAAATGCATTGCAGAACAATCTAATTGTAAGAAAAATTTGTTCGTATTATTTCATTAAACAAAAACTTTTTAAAAAATTCAATTCATTCAAAATCATCATTATGGTTTCTT